AGAGAGAGGAACCCCTAACCCGTGTTACATTTTGACCCCGTGGCACAGTGCCATAGTGTTGACCCCCGTGGCACAGTGACTTAATGTTGACCTCGTGGCACAGTGCCATAGTGTTGACCCCCGTGGCACAGTGACTTAATGTTGACCTCGTGGCACAGTGCCATAGTGTTGACCCCCGTGGCACAGTGACTTAATGCTGACCCCGGTAGCACAGTGCTTTAGTGATGAACACTGAGAGGCAGTTATGAAACACATCTCGTCCTCATGACTAAAACCTACGCGACAAACCACTATTTCCACCAATCCACGCATTATGCATCCCCCTGTATGTATACCTTTATGTATACCATGTATCCTTCCTTTCACTGCTTTGTATGCGTGATCACACCTGCACTAGCTCGCTCAAAAAAGGGCTTGAGTTCGAACCCTGGACAAGTCGGGCTGATTGGGACCCTTAATTACTCGCCTCGATTGTCCATCAGTAATAGATGATAATGTCGTCCTTACAATTGAGAAATTAGTCGCAATATTTAGGCATGCGTTTCGCAAATAGTCACAAGCAACAGGATCTAAAAACTTGTACCAGCGTGAGCATTATGACGTCATAGTGACGTCACATTGATCGTGCATACTGTGGATAAGACGCCAAATTTTGTCTCTTATTTGCGTTAGATTTGGTGAGATTAGGCTAGGTCGGGTTAGGCCGGGTGGGGTTAGGGTAATTTTATTCTCGTTAGTTTAGGATAGGTTTGGTTATGTTTGGATAGGTTAGGTTGGGTTAGGTTTGGTTTTAAGTTCGATTCGGTTCAGTCAGGTTAGGTTAGGATACGTTTGGTTGTGTTGGGTTAGGTTATGTTCGGTCAAATTTGGTTTGGATATACTGGGTTTTGCTAGATTGTGTTAGTTTAGGTTCGGTTCAATCAAGTTAGGATAGGTTAGGTTAGGTTGGGGGAGGGGTTAGATGTGTCGGTACTGTAGTTACGACGTAGCAGGGGGGAAGGGGTAGATCGTTGTGTCAGTTCTTAACGCCCCTACACATCGTAAGTGTTCGTGGAAGGGAGTTTCTCCTCAGTGAAGTGAGCAACGCAGCCATTTTATCAACGGAGAAGCAAGACGATGCATTACAGCTCCTTGAAGTGCCTCTTCGCATCCTCTAAAGTCTGGGTCAAAAGTCTTTAAGTTACAGGGATGGAGTCATAGGGTTACAGGGATGGAATCCAGGGGCTACTTGGATTGTAACCTTGAGTTACAGGGATAAAGACGGGAAGTTACAGGGATGGAGGCCTTATGTTACTCGCATATCCTGCTGAGGGGAAGGTTAAAAGCATCTTAAGTTGGAGTTCAGAAAACCTGTTCCTGTCTGGAGTACGAGGGCAATGATGATGGTGATGTGATAATAGGTGACAGGAGGTGATAGTGAATGACTAGAGGTGATAGTGAATGACTGGAGGTGAGAGTGAATGACTGGAGGTGGCAGTGAGTTACTGGAGGTGGCAGTGAATGATTAGAGGAGAAAATATATGATTGGAGGTGATAATGAACGATTGGAGGAGAAAGGGAATGACTGGAGGTGATTGTGAATGATTGTAGTTGATAGTGAATGAATGAAGTGTCTGGTAAATGATTGTCCCAAGGTGGGGGATGACTGTGTCATGGTTGAGGATTAACTTGAGGCTGAGTGACTCATGCATGAGGGGGTCTGAGTGACTGAGTAACTCATGCATGAGGGGTCTGAGTGACTGAGTAACTCATGCATGAGGGGTCTGAGTGACTGAGTAACTCATGCATGAGGGGTCTGAGTGAATGAGTAACTGATGCATGAGGGGTCTGAGTGACTGAGTAACTCATGCATGAGGGGGGTCTGAGTGATTAAGTGATTCATCAGGTTCGTCGAGGCCGGGACCGCACCCAACTCATACTTTTTGTTTATCAAAATCAGCTGCTAAAGTGTACCACTATACATTATAGGAGCTTCCATTGACCTTGTTCTCACTAACTCACTCACACCGCTCATCACATGAGCATCCTGCCCCCCTAACTCACACCGCTCATCACATGAGCATCCTGCCCCCCTAACTCACACACTCTTCACATGAGCATCCTCCCCTAACACCCCACATCAGCATCCACCTCTAACTCACCCACTCATCACATCAACAACCTCCGCTAACTCAGCGCGTCGCAACGCGAGCAAGAGCCGCTAAATCATAGCGGGAGAGCTGTGTTGTTCCCGCCACACAAACTGCACAGTAAATACCTTCAGACAGCCGGATAATCACGGTGTCGCAGTAAATCTTGCCCGCCAGTGTTCAGGAGTGTACTTACACCCGGGGCCTTATTAGACGCTCGCTGCCTTCTTCTTCTTCTTCTTAATGCTGCCCTCTACGTTAGTGCTGATGCTTACTCTCGTCTCTGTTTACTGGTCTTCTTCCGAGGGATAATGTCGGATGCCTTCTTAATGCTCCTCCTTCCACCCCTGAGCATTCGTGTGGACGTTGTATAGCAGTTTTTATGCTGCCTTCTCTTAAGTGTTAAAACTTGCTTTGTTTATGCTGCCTTCTACTTAAGTGTCCAAACTTGCTTTGTTTATGCTGCCTTCTACTTAAGTGTCCAAACTTGCTTTGTTTATGCTGCCTTCTACTTAAGTGTCCAAACTTGCTTTGTTTATGCTGCCTTCTACTTAAGTGTCCAAACTTGCTTTGTTTATGCTGCTGCTTCTTTGTTGCGCACTTTCTTCTAGTGTTGATTCCAGGTAACTTCTATATGGTGCTGTGTTTCTTAACGGTTGTAACGACCCGGTAGTTATGGTTCAACGGGATGTTTTAGTCAACCATTTAATCCTCCATAGGGCTGATGTTTTTAATTAATGCTGTTCCTACTTCTATTCTTCACTATGCTGCCTTTCACCCTGGTGTTATTAATGTTCACACCGTTCTTCACTATGCTGCCCTCCACCCTAAAGCTGCCTTTCAGCTGTCTTTGCCTGCAATTTCTGTATGTGTCACACCACTCGTCTGGTCAATGTGATACATGGGACTTTCACCCTAATGGTTAGTACCATCGTCATCTCTATTCCCCCTTGAAGCTTGAAGCTTGAAGAGTGTCCAATGGTTTGTTCCAGCGTATTCATGACTATTTCCTGGTTATTTTATTTTGTTGAGAGTATTGTAATGATTTTATTACTATTATTATACTATTTTTTTAGAAAATCAGTTTGAGCCATGGGGAGGATTCGAACCCGCACTCTGGGTACTCCCAAGCACACGTCTTAAACTACTGCACCACGATATGCTACATGTAATTAATATGGGTTTTATTTTTATTTTTATTATTTTTTATTATTATTATTGGGGTTATTACTTGAATTTTTGTGTTTCGAGTATTTTTTCGTGATGGCGCACCACAGGCTGGAGCTTACAAGAGTGACCTAGCTCCCGGATACCTATTTACTGCAAGGTGAACAGAGGCTTCAGGTGAAAGGAAACATGCCCAAACGTCTATTGCTGCCGTGGGAATCGAACTCGTGTCCTTACTTATGCTACCTGTTACATTTCTCAGTACATTAATAGGAGAATCATGCTAATGTCGACTAAATATAATATAATAGCATGAGAAGACTCATGCTATTATATAATATACTATTAGTAGAATATGGCTATTATATAATTGATTACTAGCAGATACTGGCTATTGTAAAATGTTTAATAGAAGAAATTTACTAATGTACATTGCAATAATAGCCAAATAGGAAACCCATTTTTCCTATTATATAAAGTATTGTGGAAAACATATCTCCAAAGCCTATATTTTCTTATCCACTTATCATTTGACCCTGAAATCATTATATGTTCCAACAGAAAGACTTATTCATCTATACAAAACGTATGTATATTAACGATTGGTATGTTAAACACCGTGATAAATTGCTATGGAATTACGGAAGCAATTGTTCTTGAGTGATTAATGTATTGAGGTGCGATAAATGGTCACTGCTATCCATTATGCAGTCTGTATTCTCCAATCATTGTTGGTAAGTGGAGTTTGAGGGCTGTTATAAGTGGGTTTTGGAGGTTTTTAAAAGGGTAGATAGGGGGATTTTATAAGCAGAGTTTGGAGGTTTATATAAGCGGAATTCAGGGGCTTTTATAAGCAGAGTTTGGGGGCTTTAATAAACGCATTTTTGGGCCTTCTATAAGTCAAGATTGGAGGCCTTTATAAGCAGAGTTTTTGAGGACTTCATAAGTGGACATAAGTGATAAGTGACTTCATAAGGGCTTTAAGTGATATGTCCTATACACATATCCCATACGCTAGTACCATTCAGAATCACCATTCAAACCCTATAACCTATCACAGTATGCTGGCTCTATAAGCTCATCTAACTTGAGTTTTAGCCTTCCCAAGTCTGCGAGACCACAATATAATCCAAGTCTGAAATTACGAGAGTTTGAATAATTCATAACATGTCAACTTTAAACTTTTTTTAGACTGTATTTCAAAATTAAATTTCCTAAAGCAATTATTTCAATGATTGTTGAACTACAATGAACAGCATTGTAGTTACTGTTGTTTGTCAGTTGAAATTGTTTTAAATGATCGTAAATACTCTACAGTCAGGACGAAGGCCTTGGGTGGTGTAGGGTCTAGGAATTGAGAAACGTTTCACCACTCTACCCTATTGCTACTCTTTACGTAAACCCAACCCTATCCAACAATGCCCAACCCTACCCAACAATGCACAACCCTACCCAACAACACACAACCCTACCCAACAACACACAACCCTACCCAACAACACACAACCCTACCCAACAACACACAACCCTACCCAACAACACACAACCCTACCCAACAACACACAACCCTACCCAGCAACACACAACCCTACCCAACAACACACAATCAAAGCAAGAGCTAAAATAGTGTTTTCTTTAGAATTTGCGCGAGGTGTGGGACGTCACTATGACGTCATAATTCTATTTCAGCTGAGGATTTAGACTTTACTGTTGTGGAATTTTGTGGTGTTGTATGTGCTCACAGTCGTGGTGTTCACAGTGTATCTTGTGTTCACAGTCGTGGTGTTCACAGTGTATCTTGTGTTCACAGTCGTGGTGTTCACAGTGTATCTTGTGTTCACAGTCGTGGTGTTCACAGTGTATCTTAAGTTCAAAGTCGTTTTGTTTACAGTGTATCTTGTGTTCACAGTCGTGGTGTTCATAGTGTATCTTGTGCTCACAGTCGAGGTGTTCACAGTGTATATTGTGTTCACAGTCGTGGTGTTCACAGTGTATCTTAAGTTCAAAGTCGTTTTGTTTACAGTGTATCTTGTGTTCACAGTCGTGGTGTTCACAGTGTATATTGTGCTCAAAGTCGTGGTGTTCACAGTCGTGGTGTTCACAGTGTATATTGTGCTCAAAGTCGTGGTGTTCAGAGTGTATCTTAAGTTCAAAGTCCTCATCTTGCGCACCAATATTGACACCATTACTGCCCTGTGTTACACCCCGACTGATGACACTTAGTGTCAGACTACTTGCAGTGTACCTCCAGTGTACTACCCCGGCTACACCCCTTGCAAGACGCTTGTTGAGATCACAGAGCGAGGCTTCGTCAAACTGGTGGTACACTACATGCGGTGTAGTGGAGGCTCCTCTAGCCTGGAGTTAGTGTTAGTGGAGTTAGTGTTAGTGGAGTTAGCGTTATGTTATCGCCGTGTTCAACTCCGCCGGCATCTTGTTCAAATTTGTCGTTTTATTTGTGGATATTCTGCATGATATTCAGCCCCAACTTATCTGAAAATTAACAAATTGACGGAGTTTTGGTCCGTTCTGGACCATTATCAAGACGATATTTGTCCCCCAAGACTCGAAATGTAGTCACTTCCTTTATTTTTATATGGGTGGGGTTTAGGTGTTTGACGATTAGGCAAATCGGGCCTTGCATAGTAGGCCAAGAACTGCATTCTGCAGTTCTTATATATGTATATATATATATATATATATATATATATATATATATATGTATATATATATATATATATATATATATATATATATATATATATATATATATATATATATATATATATATATATACACACAACCCTACCCAACAATACACAACCCTACCCAACAACACACAACCCTACATATATATATATATATATATATATATATATATATATATATATATATATATATATATATATGTATATGTATAAAGGTAAAAGAACCTCTCCCATAAACAAACCAAATATGACAAACATGGAGGATTACAAAGTTTAGGCGCCGAGGAAACATCATTAAAATAAACAAATGCGCGTGTCTCCGCTCGCAAGATAAATAAAACCTGAGTCTTGTCGCAGTAAATTTCAGGAGGATTCTGTGAAATTAACCCATGAACCACTTGGCAGCGATAAAACTCTCTCCCGGTGAGACTATCTCTCTGATTATTTACTATCATCCCAGATGTCTCGCACGGTATGTGTGAGAGAGACGTGTCCCCCTTTTTTGTGAGTGTGTGTCCTCTCAGTTACTTGACATGCTTTGTCTGTCTGTCTGTCTGTCTGTCTGTCTGTCTGTCTGTCTGTCTGTCTCTGTCTCTGTCTCTGTCTCTGTCTCTGTCTCTGTCTCTCTCTCTCTCTCTCTCTCTCTCTCTCTCTCTCTCTCTCTCTCTCTCTCTCTCTCTCTCTCTCTCGTTTCTATCACTCTCGGTCACTTCCTTTTTCTTCCCATCTTTTCGGCTTACGTTTGTCCGAAAGCTCGACGCAGCTGGACCAGTACACGCTTCCCAGGTCGTGTGACACAACTCTCTCATTCCTTTTTCTCTGGCTTCCCAATTTTCTTTTTTCCTTCAAAATTCAAAATTTAAGATAACGAGTTACGTGTCTAGTTGTCTTAAAAGCCTCTACATTGCTTCAGACGTCATTAGACTTAGTCTTAGAGTTACTAGATGGGATGCTAATTGAGGTTTGACTGCTCGTCGGGAAGGGGAGTTAAGGGTTTCGGAGAGTGGATGCGACTTTGGCTAGACTTATCTAGGGCGTGATCGAGGGATGGAGGGACGCGGGAGAGTATCTTCCTCCCATCAGCACCCCACCGCCAGCCCTGGCCTGTCTCCCTCCAAAAGCCCCTCCAGCCCTGAACCATCCGTAACCATGTCCCCAGCCCTGCCGCTGCCCTGAACCCATCCCTATCCTTGCCTGTGCCCAGCCCTTACCCTGACCCTTTTCTCAGCTTCGTCACAGCCCTCATCCCATTCCTAGCCCGGTCCTAGCCCCTAACTCTGCTTCGAATGCATCCGCATCCTTGCTCCAACACTGAGCCTTTCTTGCCATCCTCAGACCTGACTCATCCGCTGTTTTATCCTAAACTTGCCCGATCTGCAGTCTAACTTCCTGCAACTTGCCTACTTACCTATTTCCCTGCCTTCAGCCTGCCCGCCCGAACGCTTGCCTCCCACCTTAAATATCTGTCTGGCTGAGTGTCTTCCTGTCTACCTACTGTTGTGGTTTTAGATTCAGGTACTTGGAACAAAACGTTCCAAGTAGTATGGGCTATGGTGAGACAGTTGTGGACTTACCTGGCACAGGAGCAGAGTTGTAACTGCTGTCTACCTAATTATCCATCTCTGTTATGTTCTGAAGGTGTTATTTAGCCCCTCACTTTTCTCCCGTATGACAGGGAGTCTGCACGAGGACATATATTTACACTACGGGCTCTTCTCTGTGTACTCACCAAGTTATATTTAAGGAGGTTGAGCTTCGGTTCTTTGGTCCCGCCTCTCAACTGTCAATCAAGTGGTGCACAGATTTTTGAGCCTACTGGGCTCTATCATATCTACACTTCAAACTGTGAATGGAGTCAGCCTCCACCACATCACTGTTTAATGCATTGCATTTGTCAACTACTCTAACGCTGAACAAATCTTTCTAATGTTTATGTGTCTCATTTGGAAGCTAAGTTTCCACCTGTGTTTATTTTTGTTCGCGTTCCGCCCATCCTAAATAGTTTGTCTTTTTCCACCCCTGTCAATTCCTCTGAGAATATTTTATGTGGTGATCATGTTTCCTCTAACTCTACCTTGTGTGTGTGTGTTTGACGGGATGAACTTCACCTCAGTGTGTGTCTTTTCATTATTAATGCAACGCTACACGCATTCGTATACGTATATGACATGAATATCCGTCTAATGTTATGAATTTATATCTCCACTTTCTTGATAAGCATCCTTAACATTTTCATGCTTATTGTAAATTTTTTGGTGAGTGTGTGTTAGTGTGTGTTAATGTGTGTTTGAGAGAGAGAGAGAGAGAGAGAGAGAGAGAGAGAGAGAGAGAGAGAGAGAGAGAGAGAGAGAGAGAGAGAGAGAGAGAGAGAGAGAGAAATACATTTATTAGATATGCTGAAGATATGGTAGAGAAAAAAAGGTTTGGAGTTTTACCTTAGCAGCTATATATCTGAAATTCTCTTCCCAATTATTTATCTGTTTGTGGTCCTATCTACCCGGCAATATATATGACTGTCCTCCATTCTATTCTCCCATATATTCCGACCCTTTATTTAATCTTCCAACCTGTTTACCTGTCTATCATAAAATCCCTTTATATATCTTCTTATCCATTTACTCCTCGGTTACATGACTGTTCGTCATTCTATCTTTAAGCAATATGCCAGTCTGAAATTCAGTCCTTCAACAATATCCCTGTCTATCATTCTATCTTCCAGCAATATCCCTGTCTATCATTCTATCTTCCAGCAATATCCCTGTCTATCATTCTATCTTCCAGCAATATGCCTGTCTATCATTCTATTTTCCAGCAATATCCCTGTCTATCATTCTATTTTCCAGCAATATCCCTGTCTATCATTCTATCTTCCAGCAATATGCCTGTCTGTCATTCTACATCTCGGCAACCGGCCTGTTTGTCATTCTAGGGACTTTTAGACTGTCCGCGCGTGCCAGGGGTAAGGGGCGCCTCAAGCCGGCAATCACCACCACCACCGGAGGCTGATGGCCGGAGTCCCGCCCAACTCATTTGTCACACACACAAGGACTGAGTTGTTATCCTTCCCTGCCTCACGACACAGCCCGAGCATAATCCACCATTTCCGGAGAACGTGTGTCTCTGGTGAGGCTCTTGAGGGTAACAGGGGACGCCGATCTTCATAGTTCATGGGGTCCAAGTTAATACCAAAAATTTATGTTAATGTCTCTGTCTGATTTGTTCAGCTTTGTTCCCCTGCCTGTCAGCTTCTGTGTTCTTTTGGTGTTTGTTCTGACTGCCTGCTTGTTTGACTGTGTGCCTTCCTGTACTCACCCAGTTGTTCTTACCTAGTTCTGTTTGCGGGGTGGTTGAGCTCTGGCTCTTTGGTACCGCCTCTCAACTGTCAAGCAACTGGGAAGTTGATTGACAGCAATCCTGTCTGATTGCATCCTTAGTTGTTTATCTGATTGCCTATCTGTCAGCCTGCCTTTACGTATATATATATATATATATATATATATATATTCATAGAGTATGTATACAAGCCAAATCAAAATGGTTAATAGATAATTAGATAATTGATTAACTAAAGTAAATACATGGGTAGAAGTTTACAGTAACAGACTGCTAGCCAAGTTAACAAACAGGTAAAGAAAAAAGGTAAATAATTCACATTTGTAAATAAAAAAACAAGTATTATTGTAAAACAATTATGCAGGAGATAATGTGAATTCCTGTTAACACTGAAGTTAAAGCTTAAATCTCGAGGAACAATAACTATGAATTTATCTGTTTAAATTTGTTTTAACTAAATAACACCGAAGTTATAACATAGTATCTAAAGAGAAGAAGAAACAGCGAAAAATACTCTGGTAATAATTAAGGTTTATGAAGATGATAAATGTCTGTTACAGCGCGCATTCCTTTTACGTAAAGCTACAGCTAGACTAAACTTTTACAAGCTCAACGTCACGATCAGATGACGTTTATGTCAGTTTTGAGTAAATTTTGTCAGTTTTGATGACGTTGTTGTCAGTTTTGAGTAAATTTTGTCAGTTTTGATGACGTTTATGTCAGTTTTAAGTGAATTTTGTCAGTTTTGTAGACGTTTATGTCAGTTTTGAGTGAATTTTGTCAGTTTTGAGTGAATTTTGTCAGTTTTGATGACGTTTCTGTCAGTTTTGAGTGAATTTTGTACGCTAGTGACAACCAAAATATACTACAACACAGTCACACGTTCCTCATGAGAGATGTAACTCACATGATACCCTCTAACTCACATAACTTGTCTCTAGTCGTATAACAATATTAAACAAACTTGTGAACTATCGAATTTGAATTAAAGCTTAAAACTGTCAAACCAACTTTATCAAAAGAACTTGGTATCAAGCACATGAATTTGCAACATCAATCGACGCTACCGTTGTTCCAGCGTCGGTTTGTGATGCTATTGCTCTCGACACCATCATCTCTGTGTCACAGGCGTCAATGGTATCCCTATATATCCACTACATCCGTTGCTGTTACCATCACAAAACTAACTTTCTATGCAATGATCCACCGTTTTTTTTAACAATTACCACCACAACAATCACCAGTACCCCTTGCTGCCACTACCACCATCAGTACCCCTGCTGCTACTACCACTACCAGTACCCCTGCTGCCTCTACCACCACCAGTACTTCTGCTACCACTACCACCACCAGTACCCCTGCTGCCAGTACCACCACCACCAGTACCCCTGCTGCTACTATCACCACCAGTACCTCTGCTGCTACTACCACAACCAGTACCCCTGCTGCCACTACCACAACAAGTACCCCTATAATACTACTTCAACTGGTTTTATGACCAAAATTTATATCGTTATTGTTGCGAATACTATTACTAGTACTGCCTCTACCACAACCAGTACCCCTGCTGCCTCTACCACAACCAGTACCCCTGCTGCCTCTACCACAACCAGTACCACCTACTTTCCGTACGACCTCTACCAGCACAGCTGCTTCAACTACTATTTCCACCACCATCACTAACACCCTCATAGCCACCACCCTAACTACCACAACCAACACCACCAATTACCAGAGTGGCTACAAACGGCGCAAGAGCTACCACCACCACCACTAATCACCACAGTGGTCACCAACGCCACTAGGACTACTAGCATCACCACCACCACCAGCACCACCAAAGCACCAGCTGCTGCTCGACTCTAATCCTACAAGGCCTTCACACTAGAGGCTGCCACAGCCCCCAAATCAGGGCTACGATACACATCTTCATCTCTCCATTCGGCTCTCACGCCTTCAATGTTATCGCAAATATCGGGCTTGTCGCAGGGGCTTGGTTGGTGTGGTGGGGGCCACCCCTAACCTGGGGAAGGGGCGTTAGGTAGGGGGTCGTGGGGCAGATGGAATAGGGAGAGAGGGGGGGCGCTGAGGGGTCACGAACAGGAGGAAAGGGGGAAGGTTCAGGGGGAGGGAGGGAGGGAGGGACGGGGGGGGAGAAGAGATAAAGGGGACAGGCACCACACATTAAATAATTTTTGGGTTTCCTGCCACATCTAATTTTTAGAAGTAAATTTGATTTAGAGACTAAATTGTGAATTAGCAGCAGTTTTAGATCTTGGGTCTATGCCTTTTTGAATTTTCATGTACATTAAGATTCTATAATATACGGTTACACAAGTATTTATTGGTTCACCAGATGATATTCTGGAATTTTTTGCTATGACTTACTCCTTCTTTACAAAGGTCAATGGTTTTTGAATCGAGGAATTACTCTAGACGTGTCGTCTGGGTGTGAATAATATTCAAGGAATTTACTGATATTGTTAACATCACATAGAAGACTTAACTGATATCCTTTGCTGTGTGTCTCTTCTCTCACTCTTACTCTCCTCTGATCCACTATGTCCTACACTACATTGTTACATCGTTCTTTTGTGAGAGATCCCTCCCCATAACTCACGCAGGCACGGACGAACAAACCATGTCCTTGGCTGCCACTGTTCCCAAGCTGGATCTATATAAAGGGGCTTCGGATGCCCCCTCTCCGATGATCAGTCCTTAGGATCTGATCAGATACCACCTCATAATTCTCGTTCTAATTGGCATGTCACGTTGGGGGTGAACAGATTACACACACACCTGCCGACCCTTTTCCCCTTTGCCCTCTCCTTTCGCTACACGCCCCCTTTTCCCCAGGTTTCAGCACGTCTCCCTTGGGGCCCTTAACACCAGGTTTCAGCACGTCTCCCTTGGGACCCCTTATCCCCAATAGTTTTAGCTTGTCCCCCTCGAGTCCTCTGGTCCCCCAATACACAGGTCTGTGATAAGAAAACGCTTTTTATTTGTCTTCCCTCTTCCCCAACGAGAGGTAAAGTCTGAGGGGGAATGCTAACCAATTTTATGTGTATGTCATTTGACATTTCGACCAATGAGACATTTCAATGGTCCCAATGCTCAAAACGGTGGCCCGCATGACTATTGAAACGAGACTACAGAGCTGAAAGGTGAGCCGGAATAAATGTCGTTTGAATCCCCTTCAGCCAGCTTTGTTGGTGCTCTTTTGGCCCCGTCGGGATCAACAATGTGTCAATTAAGGGATCAGATTTAATTCAGATTTCGTGCAGATCGCGACGTGCCGGAGAGAGGAAAGGTGGTTGTGGAGTTTATTGTTGACGAAGGCGAGAGTAGAGGAGCTCCCGGCGGCTCTGCGTTGATGTCTTGTTAAATCCGAGTTTGTATTGAGAGGGTAAAGAAGGCTCAAGTTGTAATGTATGTTTATGGGACGCTTGTCAGGAAGGGAAGCTTATATACGCATTTCTGAGATTATAGATTGCAAAGAATTTCCGATATAGATCGACGATACTTGTCATCCTACAACTTTATAAGACATTTTACTAGAATCCTTTACTTAAACACCATGTAAAGCACGATAAGTAAACTGCAAAGTTAAGGTGGAATGTTATTAGGGCATTCCAGACGAGCCGTATATCGCCGAGAGAGTTTCCCTTTGAAATAAACAAGACATTCGTCGTGACGAGTTTCTTGTACGGACAGAAATTTTAGTCTTGTTAACCGAGTTAATCACATAATCTCGTTAACACAACAAAGGCCTTCAGCACCCGGGCCCGAGTAACGAAAATGTTTATCTTGACTTCTTAAGGGTAGTTAGGTCCTCATTATTTCGTTAGACACTGGTTGGTGAATTCGTTACACCTGGAGTCAGCTCCTGTACATTTAGCTAAATTTAGTTCTGGAACAGAAAAGTTTTTGTTTGGTCTTGAGTTGTTAAATTATCACTCTGCTAAAAATTGAGAAATTTTACTTTTTGCCTTTTATTTTGTATTTTTTTAAGAAATAATATCTTAATCCTTATTTCCACAGTTATGTCACTTGTTTTACTCTACAATTATTTTCACCAGTTTTACACGCCTGTTTGTTGCTTTGTTTCCTAGACTCACGTTTGTTGCCAACTTGATGTACCTTGGTTCATCACCAGCTGAACCGTCGGGCATGACCTAGCCCGCTGTACCCCTTCTTCATAACACAAACTGCTGTACCTTCCGGTTATTATCTAACGTGATTGCCTTCGGTAATCACCTAATTCGCTGTACCTGCGTCCTCACCTAACCCGATGTACCCTGGGTCGTCACCTAATCCACTGTACTTCATCTATATCTCACCTGTACCTCATCTCTGGTTTTTCTCGTGAGCTCCATTATTTCCTGCTGGCCGCATGCTTTCCCCCACAAGTATTTTCTCAGCCTATAATCGCCCGAGCCACCAGCAGGCAACCGCTTGGACCCGCTGCTACAAGCCGTCCTCCGAAATATTCTTTGTTGTCTGCACTTATAACCTCGTCCCTAGAAAGTGCCTTCGTAGATATTATGACTTTGATTTAGATCTTCGATAGCGTCCGTGGGATGTTATTATTGTGACTTGGTGCGGAGATTACGCCAAATAAATATGTTATTTTTTTTTCCTCTCTCCCTCTCTCTCTCTCTCTCCACTCATCCGTTTTTGCTGGATATTCTGCGCATGTCTGTGAGGAGAGATTGCGTCTCCTGCGTGGAGCGATAACTCTCGTTCCCGTCTTTGGAAAGCAGTTAGTTGCTGTTGTCTTTTTATTGTGATGTTAAGCTAGGTACACGGCCGATATATGGGAGAGATTGGGAGTTTACCGCCAGCTGAAGTAAGGCTTTTCCTTTTGATCGATCGTGATTTATTTACAGGAGTTGTTTATAACGATGTACTTCAAGTTTGCACATCCTATATATATATATATATATATATATATATATATATATATATATATATATATATATATATATATATATATATATATATATATATATATATATATATATATATATATATTAGTATATTTTGGTAGCAGTCTTTCCTGTAGACATATATTATTAAATATGACCGAAAAAGTAAGATTAATAATTCTAACACGAATTTTCTCAACCTTTCGTACATTTCTTTTCACTGTTGGAGGTAAATCAAAAATCAATTCTCCAAAATTCATTTTTATTTCATTTTTATCCCTACAGACAAAAATCAGAGGATACAACTGACGATTTACTATAAAACCAGAAAAACGGCCAGCCTACTCATGAGAAACTCTCCAGACACAAAACAGAACGCTTTAAAAGAGACTAACGTCGTCTATGCCTTCAAATGCCCTCTTGGGGACTGTAAGCTCCAAAAAAACCAGTATATAGGCAAGACAACAACATCTCTTTCTAGGCGTTTAACGATGCATAAGCAACAGGGCTCAATTAAGGAACATATAATCTCTTCCCACAACCAAAGCATCGCCAGAGAAATCCTAGTAAACAACACAGAAATCATCGATAGATACAGCGATAGCAGGCGGCTTGACGTTTGCGAGGCACTACACATCAAGAAGTCAACACCAGCAATCAACAGCCAATTAATGCACAACTATATTCTACCCACCTCAAGACTCCGCTCCAATATAGAAGCATCAAGAAATATGGACCAATAGGCTTTCTACAAACACTTCTATTCAATACCCATTGTTTCGTGTTCTGTCTTGTGTTGATGAAATTAATACCCTATTAATGCCACCTCTTGTTCTGTCTTGTGTTGATGAAATTAATACCCTATTAATGCCACCTCTTGTTCTGTCTTGTGTTGATGAAATTAATACCCTATTAATGCCACCTCACCCCATCCACCTCACTCAAATGTAGATATAAAATCGGAGATGCGTAAGTTCTATTCAGTTCTGTATTTGTAAACTAAAGTCTTTGAAAATGTAATAAGTTTTACGAAACGCGCTCGTGTCGCGTCAGACTAGAAATAAAAATGAATTTTGGAGAATTGATTTTTGATTTACCTCCAACAGTGAAAAAAAATGTACGAAAGATTGAGAAAATTCGTGTTAGAATTATTAATCTTACTTTTTCGGTCATATTTAATAATATATATATATATATATATATATATATATATATATATATATATATATATATATATATATATATATATATATATATATACACACGGATGTCAAAAATCACTAAATTGTCATATCCTAATAAACTGGGATATGACAAGGCTTTGACGGGGTGACGGGCAGCCGCTAAGGAAGACAGGCATTAGACAGGGGTACAGTCAGGTGTATACGTAGTCAAGCCGGGTGCCCAGTCGTAGTTTAGGTAGGTAGAGAGGCAGAGTGCCGCCGACATAGGGAGGTAACAGAGTGCCAACTTGCATCATTGTCGGAAATACTTGCGAGTGTAAGCTATGCGGACATGCCACTGGACCTGGCACACACCTGCTCGTTCATACCATTCCCAAAGTTACCCCGTCTGGGTAGTGGTGGTACCAGTGGTACTACCACAGGTGTCCGGGGAGTGGTGGTATCAGGAGTGTTGGTGCCAGTGGTATAAATACGTGTGTGTGAGAAGTGTTGGTTCCAATAGTACTACTATTACAGGTGTGTGGATCGAAAGGAAGTCGTCTAAATGGACCTGGTATTCATCGACTTGGTCGGCGTGGGCTTTACCTTTGGGAATCTGGCTAGTCTGGCCTGCAACGACCTGGTCTACAACGACCTGGTCTACAACGACCTGGTCTACAACGACCTGGTCTACAACGACCTGGTCTACAAGAACCTGGCCTGCAATGACCTGTTTAAAAATAGGTAGACTTTCCTCTCATATTGTATTAAGTTGCGTGTTTAAACGATTAGTAAACTTACCCCTTTTCTTATATTTAGTTTTAATGAAAGCAGTGGACGTCTGTACAGCCTCTGAGTTAGTGAAAATTAACTGTTTGTTATCTATTTTTCAACCAAAAGTCAATTACTCGGTTGATGTATGATCTATTATCTATTATGATGTAGGATCTATTGATCTTTTAATCCTGTTTATTGGCTTCAGCGTTTTCCTAATAATTTATTACAAAGTGTGTCATTATTTTCTATAATATATGGTAATTATTTCAGACGTGTTCATTGACGCTTCAAATTACAGAATTTCCCTTTGACTATAAATAAGGATTAAAATTATAATTGATTTCAGAGTACTGTAGGTCAGGTATAGTTAATCGATAAATGATGAATCAAAATAGGATAATGTTAGGAAGTCTTGAGACACTCGCAGGGTGTATATGGTGAGTGTTGATGTGTATGGCATGTCCAGAGTGTGTGGGTGTGTTGAGTGTTAAAGAGAATGTTACTAACAGGGTGAGTCTGATGAGTGAGGATGTACCTAATACTGCCACGTGTGAGTGTTACCCAGCCAGGTCTGTCTGTCTGTCTGTCTGTCTGTCTGTCTGTCTGTCTGTCTGTCTGTCTGTCTGTCTGTCTGTCTGTCTGTCTGTCTGTCTGTCTGTCTCTCTCTCTCTCTCTCTCTCTCTCTCTCTCTCTCTCTCTCTCTCTCTCTCTCTCTCTCTCTCTCTCTCTCTCTCTCTCTCTCTCTCTCTCTCTCTCTCTCTCCGTCAGTTACTTCCTGTCGAAAAGCCTAAAGCAACAGTTACTCGATAGGCTGACAAACTGCCGTTCTCCGGTCGGTTCCAGTAAGTTAGTTTAGGACAACCCTACACAACCCTCCTCGTTATCTACCGAGAGGAGGCAGGATGCTTCTGGAGAAGATAGAGATGCTTAGTAAGAGTCAATGAAGAAGGAGAAAAATAAAATAATCGGAGAGTGGCTAGGCATTAGTTTGATCATTTTGTTTAGTTCAATTAATTGAACTAGTTCCCCATTTCCCTCCTGTGTGTGGAATGTCTGAAAGATTAAAGTCTCACATAATGTTGAAGCCAAACAATTTACATTTGTGGGCAACTTCTTACATATAGAAATTTCAACTGATTATCCATTTAGTGGGTTCGAGTCTGTACTTCTGCAGTAAGCAAATACTTGACCAAGATTTCTGATTATATCTTATTATTATTGTAAGACTGACACATATAATTATCATTTGTTAAGACTCTTACTAACACAGTTTACATCTTGTCAGGCAATAGCCCTCTGCTGATTTAAATGGATGATCCTTTGATATGGGGTCTCGTTCAGAGGGAAATGAGGTGGTTTTATCACTGATTGTTACAAAGAGGTTATTGTATAGCTAAGAAAATAGCCACTTCCTACTACAAATTGGTTGACCAAGCGAATACAGTATTAAAATGGGTAATAAGGTGGTTGACTGAAGGGGGTTTTGAGGTGCAGTGTGGTACTATTTGAAGCAGAGTGGAACTAAAGGGAATGTAGAGGTAGATATACCATAGAGTTGATGGAGGGAACCAGAGAGATGTTGTAAACCGTGAGGTAGAATAAAAGTGTGTGGATGAGAGAGAGAGAGAGGTGGTGGAAGGAAGGTAGGAAGGAGCTTGAGTGTAGACGATGAACAGGTAGAAATGGAGAGAGGCGGAAGCTGTTGTTGTTGTTGTGGCTAGAAAGGAAATTGGTTACGGAGGGAGGGAGGAAGGTTCACATTGTGGCACCCAGATCCCATGGCGTGTTTTGTTAAGTTTAAAGTGTGTTATTTTTATGTTATGTCGTGTCATGCGACTTGTCTCGTACCCTACACGGTGCTATGTATACTTCGAGAAGTCTACTTTAAAGTGTTGGGAACTTTATTCTGCTCTGCATGGTGGTATGTTGCGTTATATTAGTGAATGTACACTAATGCCTTGATATGATAAACTATCACACAACATCTCTCGAATCTCGTATCTCTCGTAAAGGTCATCAATCCTTTCCATTCTGTCCGGATATGGAGGTCTACATATACGGTGAAGTTAATTCATCCTTACTAAGGAAGTTAAGAAGGCGCAACACAGGAGCTTAAGCTTGACCTTGGAGATTGTTAGATAAGCACTATTAGGTAGATAGTCTTACACATGCACATACAGTTACGGGCTCACCATAGCCCGTGCTACATGGACACTTCGTCCTGAGTAGCTAAATCTGAAACAACAACATCCCAGGCAGCGGTCTAATTCACAGCTCGGTCGAGTCAGTTATGAGGTACCGTCC